ATGGTTGCTTTCTCTAGCAGAGGTTTTGAGTAGCACCGAAGTAAAGAATCTGAGAAGCAAATCCTTCTTCTGCAAAGGGTAGCTGTAGCCACACTTTATCAAAGGGCAGCTCTTATTCCTGCATGGTGTAGAAAGCCTTGTTCATCATGTGTGATCTTATTTTTGTCCAAACCCAGAGAGAGCAATCATCGTCGCAAGCATTAGTTTTTACTATCAGACGTAACACCACAATTTGCCAACTTGGTTAGGCGTTTTCTCCCCAGACTTGAGATTTAATAATACTTAAAGAACAAGTTAAATGCTGGGCAACAATAATGGTGTTTTTATGCTGGTTTCTTTTACCTCTTAAGTCTTATTCTCTTGAATAATGTTGTCCATATTTAATGCAACCGTTGTTTAAACTAAATCAAACCATACTTTTATTATTCACTTTTATTAATGCTCAAGTTGAGGTTTGAATACGAATGTGAAGAAAGACACAGATCAGTTTTGTTACCATTGACTAGTTAAATCAAACAACTCCTTTCTTAAAACAGGATTCAGAGGAAATCCCTGCTAAGGCAAACTCCATAAAAGGCATACAAGGGAGCTTTTAAAAGTTCATGTGAAAATGGAATTTTTAAACAAGCTTTCTGAAGTTCCGTGTAGTTCCTCATCATATGGATTTTTTAAAGAAACTGTAGTTGTTGTTAAGTGCCATCGAGTCGATACCAACTTAGAGCAACCCTGTATAGGGCTTCAGAGGAAAGGCTGGTGGGTCTGAACTGCTGACCTTGCAGTTAACAATCCAATGCTTATCCTACAATGCCACACCAGGACTTTGTGGTTGTATTTAAACATCTATCATGGTTTCCAGTTCTATATGCTACCTAAAATGCTTAGATTTTCTCTGCTCAACTAAACTGGCAAACAAGTATGAAATACGTAGATTTTATTACCTCCCATCCATTGTTTTAAAAATCTGCATTTCAGATTCTTGGCTGAAGAGTCCAAACTTTACAGAAGTTCTCATTGGCTATGCAAAACCATTGCAGCTTTCTGCGGTAACTTGTCCTAAAAATCATAATAAAATAAAAGATAGGAATCTGTAAGTACTGTTAAAGCAACCATCTGGTGAGTTCAGGCCATATACAAAGTCTCCGCTTTTTGCTTGAATCATCTAGATATCTGTACCACCTCTCGGCTTTATTTTGCCTATGGAAACCTGACCTAAACTAAACAACTATTCTATATCATTAAGTTGTCCAGGATGATGAAAGTTTAAATATATGTCAGACAAGCTGCAGCATCTGGTGCAATTCAGTAATGACGGTCTCCTCCAGAGAACTTCAGTCCTGGAACAACTTTTCAAACTGAGGCGGTTTGGTTGATCTAAGCGGGGGGAAAAAGTATATTCTTCTGGCCTGGCATTCTCTCTAGTCACTGGCACTAATATTTGCCAGATCTTCTTCCATTGTAAGCAACACAAAGTAAAAACCCCTCTATGAAATGTCTCACGATAGCTCTAATTCCATTTCGCTGTAGCCCAGTAATATATTCCCTGGGTACAAAGTGATCAGCACTGTTAATCTTTCATTGTTATTTTGTTCGAAATTATTTTAACACATCAATTCACCCTAGTTTTTCTCCCCTAGAGAATCATGTCTTATAAAGTATTTTTTAAGAGTGATACGTAAAATTTCACTAGTTTGAATTCTGTCTTAGAGTTTGTTTATATAAGAGAACTAATTAAGTTCTCTCTTCAAAAGGCCATATAAAGTTAGATATATGGGATCTTATAGAAGAAGATTAGAATTGATCATGGTGACATTCGTAGGTCTCAATACCTCCTTTTAAATGGTGCTACAAATCTCACTGTGGCTAATTTACACATCTTTCAAAATGGGGAAAATCAGGTTTAAATTTTATGTTATTCATCAATAGACTAAGGAACAAACTTGCAACAAATACAAAAATGTTTTAATACCTTTATTATATAAACAAGTCACACATATTAGTAGAAGCACTAAGAATCCAATAGACTATCAAAAATATATTAATGTTTTAGCTTACTAGTAAACAAAAATGCAAATTAAAACAATATGGACTAACATTTTACCCACCTCGTTAAGTGATTTTTTTTTAAATGTCTAATGTCTAATTAGTGTGGTGACAGGTAAACAGATATTGACATTTGTTTAGTTTTTAACCCAGCAATTCCATGTGTTGATTGCCATCCCATAGGAATAACACTAAACATCAAAAAAAGATCAAAGAAACAGCTATAGGTACAAGATATTCATTGCAACATTATTTAAAAGATTTTAAAAAATTGAAAACAACTTAAATAACCCAAAGCCAGGAAAGGATTAAATACATTAATATATATTAGCTGCATGGAATATTATGCTGCATTTTAAGTGATGCTTAGGCTGATCCATAATAATATGGGGAAATGTTATCATGCAATATTAAGTGAAGAGAACTGTGTACAAAAATCTGCTATATTTATTGAAGAACAAAATTACATTTTAAGCCTACCACTGTACGTAAGGCTCTATATGCAGAGTAAAGGGGCATGAAAATTTTTAACCTTTTTTTCAGTATTTGTCAAATTTCACTTAACGTGCTTCTCAGTACATTTTTGAATGTCATGTTTTTACTGAAAGCGCTTTCAAAAGCATCACCTTGATTTCACATTTCTGCCTAAAGTAAAATCCTGTTTTGGAATGACTTATACAGTATCTTCATACTATCTATCATAAAAATCCTCAATGATTGTCTTCATTCTGGTTTTGGTTGTAAATGCAGAGACTACCTGTGACTAGGTAGCTGAACATCTAGGTAGCAACCTCAGTTAGCACTCTCTCGGCATCCACACTCACTCTGTCTCCAGCCCCTTTCACAAACTATGGCTGCTCCTTGCACCTGTGGATATACAGTGCTTATAAACCCATGGCAGCAGAGGGGATGTTAATCACTGTTTGTCGTTTACATACTATATTTTTGGGACAGCCAAAACCAATGGCTTGTTTTTCCCCAAAATGAGAGCATAAGGAAAGAAAAAAAAAAAAAAAAAAGTAGTCATTCATCCAAATGTCTTTGCTCTAACAGTCAGTTCTTAAGGGGGCAGGGATGAAGTCTATTTTTATGATGTATACATCGCCCAGTTTACTGTTAAGATTTCATAAATAATATCCTTTACAACATCTACCCTAGGGCAAGGTTGAACTGGCTTGACATTCTCTTAAAAATACCATGTCTCTCTTGTTCTTCAAATTCCCCTTTGCAAATGTAATCACTCCTTTGACACTTCTGCAACAGAATCTCGACCCACGTGCGCCCATAGGAGGCTGAAATCCTAATAAAAGACACTATACAGGAGAGAGACTCACAGACAGACAGGTACAGACACACAGACAACTGAGACGTCAGGAGGCTGCACTATACTCCAGCAGCTTTTCCAGAAACCTCGAGGCAGTCGTTTTTTGCATAAATTGTTGACTGAAATTCATTAAAGTTTTTATGTATTTATTTATTTTTTGCGATGAACGTTAACTCTCTTCTAGGATCTGTAATGGATGGAGTCCTTTGTTTTAGGTGCACACTTTTCTTTTTCTAAAGTTTTTCAGTGTCACTCAAAGGAAAGGGAAACTTTTATTTTGAGAGTCTTGTAAAGGTGTCTTTCAGACAATCTCCCACTCGGAACTATCCTGACAACTCAAAATTGGTGTATTTCAGTAAGCACCCAATCTGATGTTTTTGTTTTTGTTTTTTAACATGGCTGTATGCTTTTAAGGATCTCAAGTGTGTGCTTTCATAGGTTATCATAAATCCAATAGCCCAAAGAACCCAGCACGCTTTGCGTGCCTGTGTTTCAAAGACTAGAGATGTGCTGATGAAAGATGAAGTTCAGTTTGAAGGCATCACTTTTATTCGTGCTGGCTTTTGAGAAGCGGGGCTTTTGCCAGAGGAGGAGCAGGCTTGCAACGCAATGGGCGGCAAGTGTTAAGCGCCAGCGTCCTTAACCCGCTTTCTGGGAGGTATGGACACTGTCTCCTAAGACGTTTGGCCAGTCATGCGTGAGGGAGTGAGTAGAGTAGAACGGAGAAAAGATGTGAGAGACAGGGAGAAAAAGAGAGGGCTCACCCCAGGTCATCAAGGCTCTGGGATTTGCTTGAGTTTAGCACTACCATTAACAGCTACTTAAGGAGGGTCTTTTACCTCCAGGGCGCGCGACCATCACACAGCCCCACTCCAAGCCCCAAGCCACGCCCCCTCGACCCTCATTTACACCCCGCACCCCCACCCCGCCTCACAAGCTAATGAATTCTGGTCTGCCTCCCTGTCAGACCCGCCCATTGGCTCCCATCCCAACCAATGGGAGCCTGGCAACAGTTTCACCTGGCTCCTACTTCCCAAATAAACAAACCGTCCAGCCGCCAGGCCAGCTCCGCTCTCTGAAGCCCCGCGCAGCGTTGGCGCGCCCCCCCCCCCCGCTCTCCCGCCCCCCAGGCCCTCGGACCCCTTCCAGTCAATCATGCCCGGGACTGTGGCGACCCCATCCGGTCCGAATCGCAAGCCGCGCTCTCCTCCGCCCCCTCGGTCCCTTTCACTCCCCCTCGTGCCTTCATAGACTCCGCGTTCAAAGCAGCGTGGCCACGGTCCCCCGCCTTCTCCCGTTCGTCCTCCAAGGCCCACAGATTGTCCGCCGGGATCCTGGCCGGGCTGAAGGGGGGGTCAAGGGGAGAGGGTTCGGCCTCCCAGGCCCACGACACACTTCCCCTCACACCTCCACAGGCGGCGGCTGGAGCCCCTCCACGGAGCTGGTAGCCAGAGCCGCAGCGCCCTCCGCGTGAGGCGGCGGTCACGTGTTGTTTTGCCCGCCGCGGCGCTCCGAGTGGAGTGGGCGGGGGCGAGGGCTGAGGCGGGAGGGGGCTGGGGCGGGCGGACGGGGGTAGACGGCCTCTTCCCCCAATCCCCCCTCCCCCTCGCTCACCTTAAAACCATCGTGCATCACCATGGCGAGTTGCTCCTTCGCTCGCGAGCCAGCGACCAGGAGTCTGAGAGCTGCAGCAGCGGCGGCAGCGGCAGCTTCACCAGCGGCGGCGACCACCCCGCTTCTATCCTCAGGAACCCCGACCGCACTCATTGGGTCCGGGTCGTCTTGTCCGGGAGCCATGTGGCTCTCCACGGCCACGGGCTCCCGGTCAGACTCGGAGTCCGAGGAGGAGGACCTCCCCGTCGGGGCCGAAGTCTGCAAACGGGGCTACCTGCGGAAGCAGAAGCATGGGCACAGACGCTACTTCGTGCTTAAACTCGAGACCGCCGACGCCCCGGCTCGGCTGGAATACTATGAAAATGCCAGGAAGTTCCGCCACAGTGTTCGAGCCGCGGCGGCGGCAGCTGCGGCGGCAGCCTCGGGCTCCGCGGTGCCGGCGCTCATCCCGCCGAGACGCGTGATCACCCTGTACCAGTGCTTCTCCGTGAGCCAGAGAGCGGATGCCAGGTACCCATACCTCATCGCCCTCTTCACCCAGGACGAGTACTTTGCCATGGTGGCGGAGAATGAGTCGGAGCAGGAAAGCTGGTACGTGCTGCTCAGCCGCCTCATCCTCGAGAGCAAGCGCCGCCGCTGCAGCATGCCCGGCGCGCATCCCGACTCTGAGGGGGCTGCGCTGGCGGCGGCAGTGGCGGCGGAGCCACCTTTCTACAAAGATGTGTGGCAAGTAGTAGTCAAACCCAGGGGGCTGGGGCACCGAAAAGAGCTGAGCGGCGTGTTCCGGCTTTGCCTGACCGACGAGGAGGTTGTGTTTGTGAGGCTCAATACCGAAGTTGCCAGCGTGGTAGTGCAACTGCTGAGCATCCGTCGCTGCGGGCACTCGGAGCAGTATTTCTTTTTGGAAGTCGGCAGGTCCACCGTCATAGGTCCGGGGGAACTGTGGATGCAGGTCGATGACTGTGTGGTGGCCCAAAACATGCACGAGCTCTTTTTGGAGAAGATGAGAGCCTTGTGTGCAGACGAGTACAGAGCTCGCTGCCGCAGCTATAGCATCAGCCTGAGCACCCACCTGTTAACCCTGCTGTCCGCTAGGAGGCACCTGGATTTGCTGCCCTTCCAGCCCGGAGGCTGGCTCCGAAGGTCCCGCTACGAGTTTTGCCACTTGCGGGCCATTGGTGATGGGGAAGACGAGATGCTCCTCGCCAGGCGCTTCATCTCAGCCAGCGAGCCTCTACCCCACGCCCGGCGAGGAAGACAGCACCTGCCCAGGATGCGCAGGCCCCGGAGAGCAATGTCAGTGCCAGCCAGCTGTTTTCGCCACTTAGCAACCAGCCCGATGCTGGCCCCTACAGAAGCCCCCAAGGAAGGAGCTTGCCAGTCTTCTGAAGCATCTGGCTCTGGGAACTCTGGGGAGGAACGCAATCCTCAGGGCAGTGAAAGTCAGGAAGGAAATGTAGGTGACTACATGCCCATGAACAATTGGGGCTCAGGAAATGGTCGGGGCTCAGGAGGTGGCCAGGGCACCAGTGGCCAGGGCTCCAGTAGCCAGGGCTCAGGAGGTAACCAGTGCTCTGGTGGGGGCCAGGGTTCTGGAGGGGGCCAGAGTTCCAGCGGTGGCCAGGGCTCAAGTGACCAGGGCTCCGGGGGCAAGGGTGCAGGAGGAAACCAGTGCTCAGGAAATGGTCAAGGCACCTCAGGTGGCCATGGTTCCGGCAGTGGCCAAGGGGCCGGAGGTGGCCATGGTTCTGGTGGCGGCCAGGGGCCTGGAGGTGGCCATGGCTCAGGTGGCGGCAAGGACTCTGGAGGGGGCAAAGGCTCAGGGAGCGGGAAAGGCTCTGATGGCAGTGATGACCGTGGGAAATCTCTGAAGAAAAGATCCTACTTTGGCAAGTTCACTCAAAGCAAGCAACAGCAAATGCCACCCCTTCCGCCTCCACCCCCCCCACCTGGAGCAACGGGTGGAAAAGGGAAGTCTGGAGGCAGGTTCCGACTTTATTTTTGTGCTGACAGAGGAGCTACAAAAGAACGCAAAGAATCAAAGGATGTCAAAGAGGCAGAGACTCCAGAAGGTGCAGCTCGGTGTCCCCACAGAGCCAGAGCTTTTGACGAAGATGAAGATGACCCATATGTGCCAATGAGACCAGGGGTTGCTGCCCCACTTGCCAGCTCCAGCGATTATATGCCAATGGCTCCTCAAAATGTACCTGCTTCAAAAAAGCGCCACTCTCGGTCACCTTTTGAAGACTCAAGAGGCTACATGATGATGTTTCCCAGAGTGAGCCCACCACCACCTGTTCCAAGTCCCCCCAAAGCACCTGAACCTAATAAAGATGACTCAAAGGACAATGACAGTGACAGTGACTACATGTTTATGGCCCCTGGAGCTGGTGCAATTCCAAAGAACCCCAGAAACCCTCAGGGTGGCTCTTCGTCCAAAAGTTGGAGCTCCTACTTCTCTCTGCCAAACCCTTTTCGGAGCTCCCCCTTGGGACAGAGTGACCACAGTGAGTACGTGCCAATGTTGCCTGGAAAGTTCCTTGGGAGGGGTCCAGACAAAGAAGCCTCATCAAACCCGGGGCCCAAAGATGCTGCACCTTCAAAGCTTTCAGCCCAGGGGTCCTTCACGAAGCCTGGGGGTGGAGGGTCACCCTCAAAACCCTTAGATGATGGGCCCCCAAAGAGCAAGGCTAAGAGACCCAACAGACTTTCTTTCATTACAAAAGGAAACAAAATCAAGCCCAAACCACAAAAGCAGCCCACACAGGAGCAGCGAGAAGCTGACAGCTCTAGCGACTACGTCAACATTGACTTCACTAAAAGTGTGAGCAATATGCCAGTCCCCTCGACTCACAGACTGCCAGATTCCTGGGGCATCATTGCTGACCCCAGACAGTCAGCCTTCTCTCACTACCTGAATGTGGAGTTCGGCGTTCCCTTTCCAACTCCAGCAAACGACCTCTCGAATCTTTTAAGAGCTATTCCAGGTGCCAACCCCTCATCTCTGGACGGTGCTAGGTGGCCACTTCCTACCAGTGCTACAGGTGGCAACGCTAATGAAAACGAGGGTGACTACATTGAAGTGATTTTCAACCCAGCAATGACACCAGTCGTGCCTTTTGCTGACCGGGCCATTCGCTACGACGCGGAAACCGGTCGAATCTATGTGGTCGACCCGTTCTCTGAGTGCTGTATGGACATTTCTCTCTCCCCGAGCCGCTGCTCCGAACCGCCACCTGTAGCGCGGCTGCTACAGCAAGAAGAGCAAGAGAGCAGACGCCCCCGGAACCGCTCGCAAAGTTTCTTTACAGCCGCCAGAGCCGCTGTCTCGGCTTTTCCAACTGACAACCTCGAGAGCGACTTGGCGGCGGCGGCCGCGCCACCCTTAGCGGTGGGCCGGGCTTTAGCCGCAGCCTCCGCCCTGGCCGCGGTCCCAGGCATAGGTGCGGCAGCCGCGGGCTTGGAAGCCGCCGCCGGCCTTGACTCCGCCCCCGTCCGCTGGCTTCTACCTGTTGCTAATGTCGCCGCCGCCGCCGAAGCCGTCCGGGGGTTCCAAAGCCTTGCCGGTGGCTCCAATCCCGAAGCCCCCAACCCATCAGCAGACCCGGCCAGAGGTGAGAACGGGCCGAGTGGGGCCGCTGCTGCAGCTCCCCTGCCGCCACCTCGCCGCCGCCGCCCGGTTCCGAGGGCCCCGGAGCTGCCAGACTCGGACGACGACGACGACATTTACGTGAGAATGGACTTTGGCAGACCTGACAACAAGAAGTTCGACTCTCCCAGAAGAGGTTGGTCATTTTAGAATTCATTTCCTTACAGTTAATGAGCATTGCTTAATGAATCGATGTGCAAGTATGTCTACAGTATTAGCAACACGTATGTTCTTGTTGGTAAGTGCCGTCAAGTCGGTTCGGACTCAAAGGCAGGCACCCTGTTTAGGCTTTAAATCTTTGCAGGGGCAGAAAGCCTTTCTTTGTCCTGCGGAGAGGCTGTCTTCGGGTTCGAACTTCGGACCTTGTGATTTTCAGTCCAGTGCTTATATTGGAGCCACCGAGTTCCAGGCAGGGAGGATAGGAGGTAGTTGTGATTATTCATGCAATACCTTGATCTTTGCAAAAACGTAAGTTTTAATCCAATCATAAAGTTTTTCTCTGGAGGGGGAAACAAACAAAAAAAAAACAACTATGATGAAAACATCGGCTCTAACTGTGGTGTGTGGTGTACCTAGAGTCCGAACCGACTCCACAGCACCTAACAACAACACTATTTAAGAGCAGTTACAGCTAACTCAAGGACAGATACAGCATGAGGATGCTTTCAAACATCCTTCAGGATCTCTAAATGATGATGTAAAATAAGGCATCTTAAATTGAGTCCCATCAACTCATTTTCAAATCGATCATTATAATCGGCTTTTCTACCTAGACATATACTCAGAATTAAGTAGGTGCACAGACAAGCAATAACACCCAAGGGTTAAGTCTGGGGCATATAACTTTCTCCTTTGAAAGTTTCTTTTTTGAAAGTCACCATTTTCAGGTTTGTGTGCTGTGATTTACTCAGAAGGTTACACTTCAATTGTTTGGCATCAATGTCTGGCGGGAGAACAAAACAAAAATAATCCCAAACAGCAGGTGATTAAAAGAAAAGTGTATTTGACTGTGGAATGTGCTTTTGTGTTGATTTGTTTTGTTTTTATACAGGATAAATTTCCAGAAAGCCTGAGAGCTCCACTCCTTTTCTCTGTCACAAGTAAAGACAGGCAAACCACCTTTGCTGTGCCTCACTTTCTTCATTTGATCCCCCCCCCCCCCAAAAAAAAGGTGTAATGACAAGTTGATAATGGATATGAATATGACTGGTAAAGTTTGGAAAGTATTTAGAACATCTAATTAGTATGTCTTTTGGGAAATCCAGAAAGCAAGATAACAGGGCTGGAGGAAAACCTGACCCCAGGGGCATCCTGTCCTGGGACAGTAGCCATTTTTTTCAAAAGGGCTATTTTTCCAAAGAACGAAATAAAGGGCTGCCAGCCTGGAAAACAAGACTTAGAGTAAATTTACTGTGTACGGCGTCGTGCGAGGTTGCCCTCAGCGTGTCTTGAGACACTTGCAGGAAATGGTTTTGGACCCACAGTCTCCAATGCCTTCTCTCTTTAGTAGAATGTGCTGCTTTCCCAGGGCAGGGAAAGGGATGGACCCCAGCAGTTTTCATTCCAGTCTTCAGTTTTGTGAAGATTTTTGCTTTGCTTGCTTTGTGGAATGCTTTTGTGATTGGATCTCTGCCCACTGTGCTTGATCAGGCAGAACACTTCAGGCTCTGATCACAACAGTAACCTAACAAGCTCCCTATTTAAGTGCAGGTGTAGCCCCTCCCCCCCCCCCCCAGTTCCCCCTGCTATAGAAAACTGGCCATACAAAAACTTCAAATTTGCAGCATGGACACATTAAAGAGTGACCATTAAACCAACAAAAGGATGCTTTTGACTTGCCAAAAGATTCAATTCAGGGCCCCTTTAAATTGTGAGCTTCTACTCCCCAATACATTCACACACACTCACACACAGGCACGCACACACCACCACAGCCCCCGTGACTACTACCACTACCATCATAACCATGTATTTGATATATATTATTTCCAAGAATTGGCTTCGCAATCAGCGTTTTCAGTAGCATATCTATTTTAGTCTGTAAAGTACCTGAAATTGGTTTCAAGCTAGTATTAGAGCCTTCCTGCTGAAGACATCATTTATATTGATGTAGGTGATAAAAGAACTTCCTGTGTCCCTGTGGCATTTTGAAAAGGGCCAAGTCTCATAAAAATGTGTCTTTACTTCCCAATACTCTAATATATGGTTAAACAAAGGTAAAAAAGAGTGAAATCTTCTTGCTCGTTAAATGAACTCTAACGTCCCAGAGATTATCCTTATTCAGTAAAAATACTGATTTACAAATAACTTCAAAGGACTTTGTAGCTGTTTTTGAGATGTAACACTCTAAAGGCGTTGTTTATGGAGGCAAATCCTAACTTTAAGTGACTACAGCTGTATCTCACAGGGAGGTTGAAGGAAGAGCTTGAATGTGGAAGTACTTTGAAACATTAAAGCACTTCACAAATGTAAGGATTTTTTAATGTTGTGAGTGGATTAGCACTGAAGTGAAGTTTCAACATTTTAAATCAGTGATTTAGTTTCTTGCACAAAGATTGGTCCTAAGGTGATTCAAGCACGTAAGTTCCTGAAGTGTAAGGTTGGCTTCAAAAAGTTTGTGGAGAAATTCCATTCTTTTTCCATTCCATTTTCCCAGGAGTTTTTTGAAGCCCTCTCAGACAGAAGGGTTTGGAGAGGGGAGGTGGTGAGACAACCCATTCATTGCAGGGAAAGAATTTGGTAACCATTTGATTGAAAATTGATCTGTGAAGTGTTAGGTGCAGGAGACATGATTCTGGTCAATTGGTTTTGCTACAAAGCTGTTGAATAATTCCCACCCATCTCCTATCTCCATCTTCCTATATCTACCGTTAGAAAGAGAGGACAAAAATATCATATTAGGAAACAAACACAAATAGCTTTGACAAAGGGACGCAGCCACCATACTAGGAGTAAGGTATTTGAAAAAGTCGTTTTAATTCATGAAAAATGCTTGTAACAGTGCCTGGCACATGATATCATATAGCTATTATTACATTTAGAGTCATAAAGCTACAATAAAGTTTTCTGTCTTCAATCTCCTACTTTTCAGTTAGTCTTCAATGTTCTTTCAAAATGGTTTTCGTGGTCTGTTCTGAATAGTCTTTCTAGATGGAATTTGTTTATAGTAGAAGAGCCCTGAGACTAAGGCAGTGAAACAGCTTTTTCCATGTAGCACAATATTAAATAATCTCATTTACCTGCCCTCACTGCATGTAAGTAAGTACTTTAAAGGCATTTGTGCAAGTCAGTTACAAGAAAAACAGAACCTGGACTTGACCTGTTTTGTAAATGAAATCATTTTAAAACATTAATTAAAGATCAAAATCTCCACATTTCAAAGACATGGCCTATAGGCATTAGAATTTCGAAGAATATAGTCCTATAGTTTAGTTGGACTGTTGACCCACGTTTGTATTTTTGCTTCTTTTATTTATTTTTTTGTCTCTTGTAAAATTCATGTTTGAAACACCTGCAGGTGAAAATCTTACAGATTTTTTGTTCCCCCTTTCAATTGATAAGAGGGTGAGAAGGGCAGCTCTAGAATGGGTGAGAGAAATAGTCAGCCAAATTAGTAATGTCGTTATAACATTTGGCATTAAACGACAAAAGTAAAACAAAATGTCATTAGAGCATTCGGCATTAAACAACAAAAAGTAAAAAAAAACAAAAAAAAAAACAACCCACCACAACCTGGAGTAATTAACTGTGAAATTCTAGACACTGTTAGCATGAATGTTCTTCTCTGTGTGCTGCTGCCAAATCATAGGTGTTGATAGCAAATTGCTTTCACTGCATTGGACTTATTTACTATAAATTACTAGAATAAAATCCTCATAGAACAAAGATTTCCCTTGATGAGTCACTTATTTTAGGCAACATTGAACCCTTCAAAATTGGACAATCGTTTGGAGTAATGAGGCATTCGTCCTATAACAATTATGGAAGAGACCTCGCTCAATTTAAGTCAACTAAATTTGTTGGCAGTCATCCATTTGCATTCATTCTATTTCAAGAGTGATGCTTTCAGGATGAAAATACTGGTCACTAGCAAAATACCTACATTGACTAAGATGTGAATGAAGCACACCAGACAATCTCACCTGCATAACAAGTTAAAATGAAATCCATTGCTGCTCTTACCTCTCCCTAATCACCAAACACCAGGGAGTTGTTTGGGGAGCCAACTCAGGTCTGATAAGAGTAATCCCAAAAATCCCTTGTTGAGATAGATGCGGGCAGCCAGTATAGGGAGAATTAAGGAATTGTGCGTGTGTTTTAAAAGAGATGCTTGTTAAAATAGCAGCCCTGGTGGTGCAGTGGGTAAAACGTTAGACTGCTATCCCCAAGATGGGCAGTTCAAACCCACCAGGTGCTCTGTGGGGAACAAGATGAGGCTGTCTGTTCCCCTAAAGATACACAGTCTAAAAAATTCTAAGGGGAATCCTTCCCTGCAGTGTAGGATCTCACTAGAAATCATAATCTACTCAATGGCAGTGGGTTTAGTGTTTTGGTTTGGGGGTTGTTAAATTGTTACCACCTTGTTGAGTGGGGGAATGTTTTCCAGTTGCATACTTCTTTATAGTTTGCAAAGCACTTTCACATTCCTTTATTTTGCTGTTAGCAGGGAGGGACTGACCCAAGTCAGCAGGTGTTAAAAATTTAACCTGGGGTCAGAAAGGTAAGTGGCTGAGCTGAAAACCACACCCACACATCTGATACCTAGTCCAGGGCTGAATCCAGCACTACATAGCCTTTTAATTGTGTGTTTAATTTGTTGTGTTTTCGCCTTGCTTTCTTTCTTTCTTTCCTACAAATGAAAGATTGTTATATAGGCAAGAATTAGGGAGAGGGGAATAAAAATTTCAACTACAGTAATATGTTTGCCATGACTCTTGGAGTAAAAGAATTTCACCTGTGATGGAATTGAATGTTTTAAGTCTATTCTGGAGCGTTAACTAATGTTTACCTTCCATATACATACATAGTGTATGTATCTGTTTGGATCCCACAAAAACCTTAGAAGAAAAGAAAAAATGAGGGTGCATTCAGTAAATTTCTATTAATGGTCATTTTCTTAACTGAAGTTAAATTTCCATGGCTTTTCTAAT